GTGTGCCTTCCTCTTAATCCTACTATAGTGACCCTAAAACACACCGCGCCATGCTGGGCATCACAAATGAAATGTAAACAGCAGCTCACTCCCAAAGCTTTTCCGTGTAAGATCGGTGATTTTGGGAGGGAAAACTTCCTTACTGAAGAAACATGCAATTCGAATGATTTATTGACTTTTCTCAACATTGTTGTCTCCGTAAGGATAGTAAAAAGCATGGGCTACATCTCCGTGCAAAAATTTTCGCAGTCTGAAGAGTCAAACCTTGACTAATCGACCATTTACGCAATCATTCTTTTTGGCCCTGCCTCGACAGAAAAACAAGCTTTTTCAGCATTTTTTGGATTAACCAATGGCTCGCAAATCTACATGTCAGGGAACTAGATGACGTTGCGAAAAGTCGGATCAGCGGCCCATTTCTGCGTGCCAAAAGTTGAGTGGACCCGCTCCAGGTGCCATTTTGAGAAACCCGTGCATCGGATCCTCATTGCGCAGGGTAAGCCTAGGCACTACCAGCGTGCACTGTGCAAAAATCCGGTTCGAGATATAACCTGTAGGTCTCGCTCTAAGATTTTCGTGACAGAACATATACACACAGCACAAAAGACAGACCTTAAGCACTTTTATAAGTCATAATCTGAAACGTTTGCTTTGTGCTTTGATACTATCAGTAGTTTGGAAGACAAGAACTTTGAGTTACGAAGAATTCTAGACTACCAATAAAATACTAGTTTTTGTTTCCACTGCGTATTGGAAAATGTATAAGGGGAAGAAGTTTACGAGGGGAATTTGAGGTCCATGCAATGTTTATGCTTCGTTAAGAGCTAATCTGAAAACATCATGCTTGAATCTCGCTATATCTGCAAAACGATTTCTCTTAACAACAGAGACGGACGGAGAGAGGGTTGCGCGGAGGATTGTGAACGCTTGAGCTGCGGAATTTTTCGAGCGGACGGAGAGGGGTTGCGCTGAGGATTGTGAACGGTTGAGCTGCGGAATTTTTCGAAAGTTAACAGTTTAATAGAAATCAAAAACAAAGTGTATTTGTTTTATTTGTGAATAATCAACTGATCCGTTATTCTTTTGTCATTTTGGCTTTGAGAAATTTCCACGGTGTAGCAAACACGGAAATTTTCACATTTTCTGGGTTTTAAACGCACCAAAGAGTAGCATCCGGAATTTTTCGCAGAGCGCGGCTAGCTCGGCATCTAATT